TTTCATAAATTGATTTATCTTATTTTTACTGTATAAAACAAAAACCACTGCCGTGTAACTAAAAGTTCCTTTTTCATTTATAATTCAGAATCTAAAATTTAGATGTAAATTACATATAAATAACTAACCTCAACGATATCATAAAATACAAAAATGATGCTCATTTATTGCTGTCAACATCAATTATTGTTAGGTTATCGATGTGGCGATTTATGTCATGTTTTCCTGTTTTGAATATATACTCACGATTTCTATAGGTATCTATATATTATAATAGTAATTAATCTCTATTATGAATTAATTCGAACTCGGAGTGCTGTCACAACCGTATTATTGTAACGTTCTATACAACAATCTTGTAATATTATCGATAACGGAGTATAGAGCTTTTAATTTACACGACAATGTAGAACTGTATAGGACAAAATGCAAAGGAAAGTATTTGTTTAAATGAAAACTGTACATTATTATCTAATGGATTTTGAGATTCATTATAGTTTGTCTCAAATTTTTGTCATAATTATTGTTGTTTTTAGATTTTATGTCAGCCACGGAAGATTGATAGTTTTTTTTTCGTTATAAATAGGGCTTCAACTGCTTTGGTCGTTAGTGTTTATGCATTTGTAAATTTACATTTTCATTTCAACATTGTTTTTATTTAAAATTTTTTTGAGATTTTTTGTGAAGCTCGGTAGATTGGATGATTTGGTGAGCTTTTTGATGCTTGAGAGATCGTTTCTTTAGTCATAATTTTTTGTAAAATAAACTGTTTAATATTATAATAAATATTATGCAATATGTATACATTTAATTTTTAATAACTACAGTATAAATCAAACAAAAAACATTTATTTTTTTAAATCTTGCACGTAAAATAATTTCGATTTGTAAAGCATACCATTTCTAAATCAAATATTTAACTCACTTTCGTTTTTTTCAAAAAGCGACAGTCGTTAACAATACTATGTACTGCAATAATTCTTTGAACATAAGTTTAATAATATCTAGTCTTATACACATTATAGGTGTAGGTTTATTTATATTTAAGTACTCTTTATCTTACGGATATTATTCTTGTCAATATACAAGTACGTCTTGTCATTTACAAACCAGAATATTTTAATTGGATTTAAATTAAATATCACGCCAATTTTTTATTTTTTTTTTTACGTACTAATTTTCATTAATTTAAAACAAAATATTTCATTCCCAATTGTATTCGGTATTCTTATTTTAGAAGTAAGTTTTTATAATTTTTAATAACTTTAAAGATGAAAATCATTCAACTATAATCGGATTTGTTTTGTTTTACTTATAGTCAGTTAAATACGGGATATTGTTGACTTCAACTTTGAATAGTTCAAAAATGAAAAGATTCTATATGGTCATTAGACTTAAATAAAATATTATTATGAAAAGGAAATAATATCCAATGATGATCATGATAATATTTAATAGGTAGGTATTTTGATAACTTGAAAAGTAAAATTACCTTTGAATAGGTAATAATTCATAATCCGAATTAATATTGAATGAAACAATTGTATACATACATATCTATTGTACAAATATAAAACAATATGATGAAAAAAAACCATTTAATCGCTGTAAAATGTATCTATATTTCTCGTTTTCAATCGTCCGATTGGTTAGCTGCGGATCCCCATATGCCTCTCTTTCTTAACTTAATTATTTAAATAATTTTAACTATAATCCTTATCATATGTCTATCATAATTTATTTCATATATCTATTTCCATCCTTGGTCTGTCTATTCAAATGTACCCTAAGCTACGTCCCTTTTTATAAAAAATCGATATCTTATTTTTAATCAAGTAGGTTCCTAGTACTTAATTGCATAAGGGTAATATTCATTAAAAAATTAATGCGATTTGAAATTAATTTTTAAAAGTTTAAACGAAATGATAATTAGGTAACTATTTTTGATCCAATGGAAACGGATTTAGGTAAATTTAATTAAAAATTACAAAGGAATAACGGAATTATGGAATCATGGAAAAATTATTTAAAATTATTGAGAAATTTACCTAAGGAAAAAAATACAAAAATTGACTTAAGCCTTTTTTCTTTGGTTAAAAAGATATATATATATATTATTATTATTTATTTACTAAGCGATATGACCGAATTTTTTTGATTAAATTTTTGATTTTTGGAATTTTTAATGGTAGTTAAATAAAGCCGATATTTTCGAATACTTAGATTTTTCACAACATTTAAAGAGTATCCTGTGGCGATACCAACTTTGGTTTTTCAAATAAGACCCTATATAAAAAATTCCATGAATAAACGGAGTACTACTCTGAATATATTTTGGTGTTAAAATCTTTGGTTTCCGTCAATCACCACGTTTAGTGAATCACCTGTATATACATTGTAACTGCAGTTAGTGTAATCTCGAATGATTTAAAATTATAAAATATTTTACGTTTTACTTGTTAGTCAAGACATTAAAATAATATTCGGTTATTATAATATAAAATATTAATCGATTCTACATCATGTCAGTATTATTATTTTTATTTTTTGAGTAGTTGCTAACCTCCATAATAATTCGTTTGTGTTTATATTGTATACTCTCATCAGTTTAATCCTACACTGAAAATCGACGGTTAGGTATCTACGCGTTGCTTAACAAAATAAACTTCCGTTTACTCAACTACAAAAACAATTGTTATTATAGTATTGTTACATAGGTATAATATTTCGGTTAGTTCTGCTTGTATATAGAAATCGTTCTCCTTAACAATAATGTCCGTTTTCGTTAATATATTATTACTAATCTGCATTCGTATACCGCCTATACACAATATACCTACTCATTGAGATTTCAACGACGACGATATTGTTTTAAGATGTTCATTTTGCCCCCATGAAAATATTGACGAAAACCGACTGAGACGCAATAGCATACAGTCACACATCAATATAGTGATATTAACCGCATATTGGTCGTTATAGTAAAATGACAATGACCGTGATGATGATCACCGAACTTCAAAATGCTAGCAATTTATTTACAACGTCACAATAACTATGTCGTATCATAATATTGTCACCACCCGGTGCTATGTTCATTTTATCGCGACAATATTATATAATAAGGTTCATTTGCGACTCTGGTCTTCAAGAGAGGTCCGATTTATTCCTCGTTATGTGCATTATTTTTCTCCAAGTTTATTGACTATATAATACTCCTCATGAAAAAAAGATTCAAACTTATAAATTATAAATTAACTATATAAATATATAACTTACAAATTGAAATTTGAACCTTTATTTAGCATAGGTTATATATTTTTTTTTTATTTTGTCTCATCCTAAAATTTATAGAATATGTTGAAAAATTATTTTTTATTTTGAATTTTTTAGAATAAGTGCACATTAGTAGGTACCGTGTTAAAAATAAAATCCAACCTGTTTTGAACACACCATACAAATTTACGAAAATCTAAAATATGTGAACAAATTTGATTTTCAGAATGTTGTTAAATCATGAAACATATTTCAATTTAAATAAGCTATTTTTTGACGAACGTGAATAATGGATTTTTTTAAATGACGTTACGTATTATACATAATAAGTCATATCTAGTAAACATTATATATATATATATATATATATATATATATAGTACAATAGAAAACTGGTAGTAAACTCTAATAACTATGAGTCCTAGGAATGTATCTAGGTGTACATTAAATACGGCTGCGTACAAGCACTGGTGCCGTACTGGTGGTGTGAGGCTTTCTTACATATATGGAGTTTTAAGATGTCCCAAGTTTTGATTGTGGCAATGGTGAATAAACATTAAACCATATTTGTAATTAAGGAGAAAATTTATCCAGGGATTTGAGGGTCTACATTCAATCACCAAGTTGAAACTATAAGATGCTTCCCAGAAGTGTAAGCCAATTAAAAAAAAAAAAAAACAATTGGACTAAGTTGACTAAGTGGACTAGCTGTAAACTAGTGGTGCGCATAGTGTAGTAAAATGGCCACGAATAAAAACCGCACTTCAATTTTGTATTATTGCTGAGGTAGACACCGGCGTCTCTTTATTACTCTATGACCAATTGGCCACACCCAGAAACAGTAAACAGGATTATAAATTTGATATGTAGCTATGAAAAACTATATAGGATTATAACATGTTTGTTTTTTTTTTTTTTTCAATATTTTACTATTGATTAAGTTGATTCGTGTGTAAGTCATACGGAATAAATAAATTATAGTAATATAGGGTATTTTAATCTAAACAATGTAATAATAATATCGTGTCAAATTATAACCTTCCCGATGCGTTCATATTATTTTGATGCCGTGTATTATTTAACTAACCGTTGATCTTGAGGGCGCAATATTTATAAACATACATACATCTAATCATTGTGTCGACGACGACGGCAATAAAATTTGATTATGTTACCTACTGTAGTTGAAGGTATAGCAGCCGAATTTAGTTATATTATTACACCTATAATAATAGTTGGTTGCCTTCGAATAATTATGATAGAGCTGTTATATAGGTACAACGCACCAACCGGTCGAGTCGAAGTAGTGTAATTACTAGCTTATAAATCAAACAAAATTGTTTTTTGATTTTTTTTTTTCGATACAACGAAATGGTTTTTAATGATAAATTAATAAATCCGGCGATATACATTCATATTAGCTGTACACGTATTAGTTCAGACAGCCTATTTTATTTCTCACATTTAGATTTATGTATTTTCAATAAAACCATGTTGTGTTTCTTATTATAGAATTTTAAAAATCATTTTCGATTAACTTTGAATTATTAATATAGATAATTGAAAGAAGATGGAATCCAGGGAGAAATTTTAAAAAATCTGGATGAGGTAGTAATAAATAGAATACATGATATCATCGAAAATGTATGGTCTGAGGAACAACTACCCAAAGACTGGGGTACAGCGTTGATCTGTCCAATTTATAAAAAAGGAGACCCGCAAAAATGCAGTAACTACAGAGGTATTGCTTTATAAGATACGGCATATAAAGTCTTATCATATTGTCTACTTGATAGAGTAGTNTTCTAAGACAAATCATCCAAAAACGTTTGGAATTTGACAAGGAGGTACACGTGTTATTTGTGGATTTCAGAAAAGCTTATGACTCTATACATAGAGAAAGTCTTTTAAACATTCTCAAAGATTTCAAATTCCCCAAAAAAAATATTAATCTTATTGGAGCCAGTCTTAATCATACAGATATACAGGTCCAGATAGGTAACGTAACATCGCAGCCAACTAGAGTAACGACAGGACTTTGGCAAAGGGATGCTTTGTCTCCAGTGCTGTTTAATTTAGTACTGGAGAGGGTAATACGTGAGATGAATATTTCGGATGGAGTTATATTAGGACAGATCAGAATTGGAATGCTAGCATATGCGGATGATATCGCTCTTCTTGGTGAAGATTTAGATATGATAAAGAGATTGGGAAGTAATCTAATAAATACGGAAAAAAAAGTGGGCCTAACCGTTAATGAGGAAAAAACAGAGTACCTTGTAGCTAGCCGAAGAAATATAAATGGCGGTCTGGAACAATATATCAAAATTGAAAAACTCAAGTTCAAAAGAGTGTCTCAATTTAAGTATCTAGGGTCGATGATGATGGAGGATAACGACATCAAGACAGAGGTGTCAACAAGGATAAAACTAGCGAATAGAGGATATTATGGACTTGAAAAAGTCTTGAAATCGAAGGCCTTATCCAAAGCCCTAAAAATCAAAATGTACATGACTCTACTAAGACCGATTGTTCNGCAAACGAATGAATGGAGAAAACTTCATAACGTGGAACTCCAAGGAGTTTTCCAGAGGCCGAATATAGTTAGAGAGATCGCCAAGCGGAAACTAAGTTGGGCAGGACATGCTTGGCGCAAACAGGGTACTTTGGTAAAATGGGTGATCGAGGAAGAGGCTAATGGGAAAAGACCACTAGGTAGACCTAAGTTAAGATGGGAAGATGGTGTGAAGAGAAAAGTGGAAAAGATAGAGCCTGGTGTCAAATGGAGAGAAGTAGCGGAGGACAAGGATAGGTGGCAAAGTTTAGCGTTTTCAGGATGATCTTAAGGACCATAACTAAAAGAAGAATATAGATATTTAATATAATATTTTATTCTGTTCGTATTTCGTATGTGACATAATATATATATATATATATAAAATATATAATATATATATAATTATTCAGCATGATACAACTCATGCATTTTATTTTTAAGTTATCTACTATAGTTTTTTATACTCGTTTCATATTCATAACAATACAATGCGTTTCGCAATTCTTTTATCGCGAAGCAAGCAAATATTTATGAACATGTTGAATAATTTTTTTTTTTTAATCGTTCTTATGATCTTATTTATAATATTTTTAAAATTTTACACATATCTCGTATACCATGAGCACATTGGTTTTAAATTTCGATTTTAAAATAGCATACTTCGTTTTTTTTTTAAACTCGGAATTAATATGAACTTCATAATCTACGCGTCTCTACTCCTCTGGTATACATTTTAAATTGATATAAGTTATACGTTTACAATTTATAAACGGTAAAAAAAATTAAATTTAAAAGTTTATTGCCTATTTATATTATAAGCAACGCTAAGCAAATATTTAAGGAAAATAATAAATTAGGTAGTAAATAAAACAATATACTACATCATTTATATTATAATAGGTATTTGGTGAAAATTTTAAAACGTTGAATTATATCAAAAAGGGTGACTATATAATATATAAGCATAAACTACGGTTAAATATATTCAACATATTCGAATAAGAGAGAACCTGAAGACGTTTGTAGAAAATCTGTAAGCCAGGGTTTCACGTGACTGGAAACGAGTTGGCACAATTATGGTGTATTCGGTAGCATTAAAATATCTTATGTGACAACGGTATTGATATATTCTCGTTCTTAAAATGGATTTGAGGTTTTAGTGTGTTAGCCTCGGATTTTAAACGAGAGCTTTTTAATTTGACATATATAAATGTAATTTTAATGTTAAATTTGTATGTCTCGGGAATACGCATCTTTCTATAAATTTATGTAGGTATACTTAGGTATATTAAAAATATTCACAGATAGTCCGTACGAACAATAATCATTTATCCGACTAGTATTTAAAACAAACGTAAAATGTGTTTTTCCTTCGTGAAATTTATTTTTCTAATCAATTTGTATTTTTATACAGTATACACGGGATATGACCAAAAAAAAAAAAAAGGTAAACATAAAACGAAATAATCTACATTGATTTCAACTGATAGGATTGGTCGGAATTAGAATGAGTTTTTTGCTTTATAAAAACAATATCGTCGTTAAGAAAAAAATCACATCATTAATGATAATATAAAATATAGGACTTATTTCTATTTATTTTACAAAGTGTGTTATTTCTTTTTATACCAAAGATAATAAACTGTTACGCGAGTTTTGTACAAATATGCCATTTATTATAAATTACATATATATTTTATGCCTTAAAAGACGGAAATAATCACTTTTTTAAACTGCCGTCCTTTATTGATGCACTATATTTTAGACATAATAATTTCATTAACATATGATCTTTTTTTCAAATTTATATCAATCAATCCCATCCTTCATTCGTCACTCAAAAGTCTGTACCTATATAGGTAGTCGAAGTATAACAATATTATGCAAATATTTTACATTACACATATTTTACATATCTTAATATTTATATATTATTATGTTAATACAAATATAATATGTTAATTGATTACTAAGGTTTTAATTTTTTATGAAAATAATTATAGAAGTTATAAGATTACGTAGGTATTATTGCAAATTGCTATATAAGTATTCGGTTAAACTTAAATTTAAAATTCATAAGTAAGGTACCTAGATGAAAAAAAGTCTATACCTCGTGCCATTTATTATATAATAAGTTATACCTTACATAGAAGTTAATATTATTATTTACAATGAATAAATAAAAAAAAAAAAAACACAGATTCTAAGATTCAAATTATTTACTTTGTTATATTATTTGATAATTTTTTTTATAACATCATAGTTAGTTAAGCCTATAGAATATTTTTTTCGTCCTATACGTAGGTACGTAAACATAATACATTATGGTTCGAATAAACACCTAAAAAAAAAAAAAAGCATGATATATTGATGTAACGTATATATGCAAAGCTGGTAAATCATTGTAAATGGATGTTAGGATAGGGTATTATTGAATCAAATAATAATTTATGAACGTAAATAAGTTTAGTAAAAACTATTGGGTTTACTCGACATTAGGGCATTACCGTACATAAAAAACCAAAATACTACGTGTTTGTATATATTTATCGGGAACCCGTGTAACGACTTATCCTTTAGCGTGGTTGTATATTTTCTAGAAATTGAATACTCGATTAATATTAAAAAAGAAAACTAAAAAATTTGTCCATACAATCTACATAGATAAATAATTTATAAATTAAATTCACTTGACTACATATAATACAACCATAGGTAATATATATATAATGTATTATCAGTACCGCCAAACCTTTTCTAAACCACTGGGGTAAACCCTATTTGAGGATAACACCTACCAATTTTGGATTTATTTGCTTACGGAGGAAGTTGTTCTTTGATTTTATAACGTACTATTATCCACTATGTAATTAGTTACTAAATAATAACAAATTTCGTTTATTTAATTTTTTCTGTTTTTTTGTATAATAATTATTGTTTCTGTTCAAGTAGGAATTTACGTATAGGTATAATTTTTTTTTCGTGTCGGAACTTATATATGAACCCGCTTACCTGCTATTTACCAAGCCCCCTAGTATGGGCTGACGTGAAACCATTTATATCTATAGCCGTTGTAAGGGCACATTATGCATATTAGAGGCTAGTCCAGTGCATAGTGCAAACAGACATACTGCTTTGAGAAATCTCTCTACTATAAACACTGAGTCTTGTTGTCTGTATTACACTATATCTTTATATATAAAATGGACCCCTATTTCCGTTGGTCACGCTATCACTTGAAAACAACTGGAGCGATTTTAACGCGGTTTTTTGCAAAATGTTCCGCATTGTCCGGAGAAAGGTTATAGCTTTTGAAATCCACCCCTATTGAATACCATTCCCTAAAATTCAGGTTATAGGTAATTTTAGTACAGAAATTTAATTATTTTTATTGAACTATTGGTTTCCGCGGTAACAAGGATGAAAAAAAAAAATTTAAATTTGTGTACTGGTGTGGGTGTCTAAGGAAAAATTAATTTATTCATTTCTTAGTGCTTAGTCCATTCAGTCTAAACGTTTATCCAGTTTTGAGTTTGTTGAGTGTGTTTTTTGTAGTGTTTTTTCGTCGCAGTTAGTTCACCGAATTGATAGTTAAACTATATATTTATGAATGTAACTCGCAGGGATTATTCTTTTCCGGACAAGTTGGAAATTTTTGTTGTATTCAAGTTATGGCGTCAATGCGTCACCGACAAAATTTCGATTCATTTTTATATATAATACATATAGATTATGAGTTATGCCAATAATCGAGTTATTAATTTTGTATTAATATAAATTGTTGGCAAATGTGTACATAAAGGTATAAAAGGAACGCCATGAAAACTGAAAAATTTACATTTCCGTTTTTAATAAAATCAATAAAACATTTATTTTTTATTTTTTATCGTACTAAGAACTATTCTGAGCCAAATTTGTTTTTTAACGCATATTGATTTACCTATTTTTGGTTACGATACATAACTGTATACCTATTTATATTATCTTTTCTTGGTTAATTTGCATATCTTGTTGCGTAATGTAGTGTAATATTAAAATAGCGTATTTTCTCCTTTAAATTAAAAAAAAAAAAAAGAATTTATTAAAATCAAATATATTACAAATAATCTGAGATATTGAATATTCAATAAAATATTGTATTTTTAATACATTTGGTTTTAAAAAAATTGAAATTAAAATGGCGTGGTCCTTAAAATTATTATTGTGTTTCTCGTCTTTCATTTTTACGCAAAACACGCATGGAAGCTGTAGCAAGTAATATACATGATTTTCAATACTTTTTTGAACATAAATATGGTTAAAGTAAGTTTGATAAGTAGGTGACACAACATAATATGATTAATCTAATTATTGTATGGGTCGGATAGCTCTTAGAAATTTTTACCGTTCCTCAATAGTTTTTTTTGAAAACAAGAAAAAAGGAGCTCAAATATGTTACATTGTCATTATTTTTTGTCAACCTTTATTTTTAGAAATGAAAAGACTGCCTAGTTTTCATTTTTTAAACGGCAACATATATTAAAAATCCCATAAAAAGATGGAGTATTAATTTAAATACATTTTGATGTAGAAATTGTTGATTTTCCTTTAACCTGTTAACAAGATATTTCACTTTCCAGTTTGAATGTAGTATTATCCGATAATGACACCACATAAATTATGGAAATCATTGCTAACAAAATATGATTCTGAGTGAAATTCAGTTAAATATATGTTATGTTTTGAAATGTCGTGATTTTTACGATCAAAATGTCAAATATACGTATTAAAGAACTCAACAATTGCCAGAATGGTTAGAAATTTGATCATATTTAGAAAAAGCCATTATAATTATTTTGTGAAATTTTCAGGACTTTAAAATTTTATTTTAAACTGAATTACAACAAATAGCATAATCGAAAATAGTGAAATCGTTAATTTGGTAAACTTTCCTGTTTCCGTACAATTTCTCAGTTGTTAAGAAAATTGCAATAAAAAACAAAAAATGTATTCCTCATTGCTTCATCTAAATACAAAATACTACAAAAAAGTTCTTTAGTCATTTTTTAGGATTGGAATATGTTTCCGGTAGAAAAGTTGTTGGAGACAGGGGGACACATCGTAGTGAAACTCGCTGTGCATAGAATCTAAAAATTTAATGAGAACAAACACATAATAAAGCTAATATAATCCTCACTGCATTCAGAATTAAAAAAAAAAAAAAAAATAGTAAAAATGGCATTTTGACGAACGAAAAATATTTATTCTATTAGAAACAGGAAACTTAAATGGCACACAGAGCAATCTTACCACGTTTTGGTGTACTCGGACGGCTGTCCGTAGTCGACTTGATAAATTGTTTACGTTTATTTTTCATTTTCTTGGTATTAACCGAATTTAACGGATAAAATGTATTATTTATATAAATAGTATTTGTATTGATGAATGTTTAAATCTCGAGTCAGCTATTGTTAAACGCTTGGTAACATATTTAACTGATCTGTTGATACGGAGAAAATGCAGTGATTATGTAATTTTTATAATCATTAAACCTATTTGTAAAATCGCAATTTGTATATTTAATGAAGAATAATCAAAATTTCATAAGAAATTCATTATTTCGGAAAGTATTGACTTTTTTCGAAATTCGTTTATTGTTTTTAGAATATTTAAGAAACGCATACAGCTCTAATACGTTTCATTTCTGTTGTTTTTTGTAATCCTTATTTTTAGCGGTGAAGCCACTATCCATTTTTGATTACGAATTGCAACTTATATATTAAAAGTTTTAAAAATATATGAAGTTTTAGTTTATATAAATGTTAATGTTCACATTTTTAATTGTCGTCAACCTGTTGACGAGTCATTCTATTTTTAAGTCTGGGTAGGAAGAAAGTAATGGAATATAATTTGTGCGTTATCATCGTTTGAATTGTATTTTAATATTCTCCCCTACTTACAAAACGACAAACTTAAAAATGGAACATCTCAAATTGTATTTGAATCTGTGAAAAGGATGACACGGCTCCCCTACGCAGCATCGTCCCCTAAATCGTACATGAAGCTGCTTCATCAACCTGTCCAAATCCGGTATGTTAGTCCGTTCAAGTCCAGCGGAAATAATGTAAGAAGTTAGGTACCGGATAACTCAGTAGTAAGGCAATCGTCCGGTAAGCGAGATACTTGGGTTCGATTTTCTGGTTCGGCTACTTAATTTTTAGCACCATTTTCGGACGAGAACAATCGTGCAAGGGAAGGAGTTGCTATTTAAAATCAGTGGATACTCATTTCAGGTTTAAAGAGTAAGAATAAAAAGATGTCCTAGGATAATGGGGACGGATGCAGCCAGTGGTATAGATAATTTTATGTATACACTAAATACTGATTCTGTACAATGAATACTTATAATAAAAAAAAAAAAACCGCATTAAACAAATATTTTTCTATATAGATAATGAACATAATATTAACATGTTATTGTTTATGTATTACGAGATTTAAGCCATTATTTACGTATGGTTTCACTAATCGTGACAATAATATTAAAATAACTTCTTGCATAACCGTAATTTCGTATTATCTGGTCTATAATATACGATGAGAACCTACATAACTACATATTATTACGATAAATAAATAAATAAATAATATTATCCTTTACTACCGTCTTATAGCTAATTCTCCTGTACGCTTTTATCACAGTGTATAATTTTCCACTTTAACTGCAACATATTTTGTAGTGTTTTTTTTTTTTTTTGTGATATATTTAGGTGTTGGGTAGGTGTATAACTTTTTTTCTAACCGTTCTGAAAATTTCGATAGTAAAAGAATCACTGAAATAAATTATTTCGAATATAATAGTTACTTAGGTATATTATAATTTATGTGTATAATTAATTATAGGAGTGGTATGGTGCGGTGAAATGTCAAGGAAAATAATTTATATTTTATTTAAAATAATTATTTCCTTCTAAATAAATTTTAAAAGCTTATAATCAGACTTATAATTAATAACAAACTATATTATAGGTTTAATATTCAGTATATTTTGATAGCTACCTATATTTTATTTAATATTCTTTTGTATTTTAAAATGTTTGGAACATTTTCAGAAAATTACTCTGCTTTAGAAAAAAAAAAAAAACATATATATAATATATGAACCGCATATATATATATATATATATATATATATATATATATATCTAAACTATTAATAAAATAAATTATATTTTAAGTATAAATTGTAATTTAAAATATAAAATTATGAAAAAAATCTTTAAAGATATTATTTAATACTACAGCTTTTGAGGTATTTTTAGTGACCCAAAAGTGTTTTTGGAAACTAAAAATAACAATAATAAAATAAACAAACTAGGTACTCGTTGTCGTCAACATGATGTTTAGTGTTTCATATTATATAATATCATATTTGTCAGAGGCGTGGTGAACATTTATGAACAATGATGTATAATATTTATTTTAGTATTCAGTATTCACCCCACTCCTTCATAAAATAATTACGTTCTTTGTAGTTTGTTTAATTGTTATCCATTTGGACTTAAGTTAATCAATGGAAAACAAATAAGTACTTTTTTTTTTGTAAACTCATGGTCTCGATGTTAGCAAATGTCCTGGTCTAATTCTTTACCCTTATTATATACATATGTGGTTTAAAAAAAAATTAGCCACTAATTTGTAATGCCAGTTTTAATGTCAAATTTAATATTTAAGATTTAGATATTTAAACAATTCAATGATTAATATGAAGATCTACGGACTATCTAGAAGACAATCCTTCATACATTTATTTACATTAAACTTGCTAGTTTATAAAACGTTTGTTAACGTTCTCCTTACAAATATACATCGACCTACGCACGATACACACAATTGCAACCATGTAGCCTAGGCGTATTGAAAACCCTTGTGTACTCGTATGTTTAACTGGATATATTTCAATCCATAGATATCTATAGTTTAAATATATTAAACAAATCAAAACAATCTAAAAGAGTGCACTTATTTTACAGTCGGGTAAATTAATAAAAACCTTGTATCGTGGCGAAAATATAATATTACTGTAAAAAACAATAACAAGTAGTCACAGTGTTAAAATAAAAAAATTATTGTCTAATTCATCGCTAATACTCAATCCCTCTTGAATTCCATTATTGTCAATGAATGCACAATTATAATGTATATTATATTTTTATAGAAAAGTTGAACATTTTTTATTTATTAAAATAAATAGAAATATGCGTTTGAAATAATATACTCTTTCGTTTAATTTTGAGTGATGTATTTTGGTTTATTCTGTTACTATTCCGGGTTTGATAATTTAGGATATTTAATTAAAACCCTTAAAACTACGGTCGGTTTTTAAAAATGAAATATCAAGAAGTCATGGATATTTTCGTAGTACACTTAGTAGTACGTATATACACTAAATTTTTAAATGTGTAGTTCCGTGATTGGCACAATGAAACGTTATAGGTATACGAAAATCAATAGAGTTTTCGTTATACTCAATTAAAATCCGAAAACGTTTTGTTTTTTCACTCACCAAAAAAAATAAAAGTATATATATAAATAAGTTAATCATTAATGTTTTTTTATTGGCTAAATCATCCGGAGTAGGTATCTATATAGTTTATTTGATGAGTTATTTTCCACATAGTATATTCTACAATAACTGGTTAAAAAGTATCTTTGTTATTAAGGTCTTGGGATAAAGGCACTTTTAAAAACGCTGAGTGTAGCTAAAATGGTTTCCTTACAGAACTAATCAGAGATATACGTTTGTCGAATTGCTTTGGGGCTTATACAATTGAAACGTTTAATGAAAAATCGTAAAAAAACCAAATGAAAAACTTTTCTTTAAAATTGGTTACACTCGATTTTTTTTGTCACCAAAGTAGATAACATTAGGTATAACCTATGTTATTATAATTTAAACATTATTGATTAGTAAATTCTATTTTAAAACCAACATGTCAGCTAATGAAGCTATTTATTTAAAACTAAAATAATTGAATAATAATGTATTTTCTAAAATTTAAGACGTAAAAGTTATCAGATTAAGGAATTAAGGTAATACAAGATATTGAGTCACTTTAGTAGATTATACTATTATATTTGTGTAATTTAAATGTGTACAATAAATATTGTATTAGAATGATACAAATTTGTATTGTAAAATATATAAATGAAATTATGTCCTTTTAACATGATAAATATTATTTTTAACATCAACTGTTAAGACTAACAAAAACTCAATTTTCATTTACAAATAGTTAAATATCCGTAAGAAATTTTACGGAGAAACCAGATTGGCTAAGTTTAAAATGATCCACCGACTTGGTTATAATACAATTTTTTTTCTAATATCCAGACCACAAGATTGAAAAAAAAATGCCTAGAGTGGACGTTGGTAGTCCTGACGATTGCGTTTACCTTGACAAACGTAGCCGATGGTAATGAGACCACTACGTCATTGGCGCTGGTTAACGAAACTGAATATGACGAGACAGCTAACATGACCGACGAAGAGTACACAGAAATGCTTGAAAATTATATCACACCCCAAAAATCCGAATGGGTGTTCATATTCCTGCACTCCGTGGTTTTCGTGGTTGGGCTAATTGGCAACGCTTTAGTTTGTGTGGCCGTCTACAGGTGAGCAAAAGTATACTTATACCACCAAGAAACGATAATAGCGTCCAAAATAAGATTTCTTATTTTTCCTTGGTTTAATTAGGTATATAGACTTTTTTAGACCCGATGCAACAATTCATCACTGTTTCATCCACTCCCCCAATTTTTTACAGATTTTTACGTTCTTTATTATTCCTAGTAAGAAAAATTACTATTTTATGACGTGATATCGTTTATCTCGTGGCTGTTCATGATTAGCTATATAATGTATCGAACGTCATTCTATCTACAGCTATCTACAACCTTACATCATAATACTGTGTCAACACGCTGTCAACTGTCGATTTATGAACTTTAATAATTTAAAACGTTTTAATATACCCACTATAAATTAAAAATTTCTGACAAAAATTATTTCCAAAGGAAAATATGCGTTCAAAATAATTTCATTTCATTCCAGATAAAAACCGTTAAATAATTATTTGTGCGGTGATAAAAAAATTGTAATCTTGCTTTAGGTGTTTTTTCGTGTTCAAATTTAGTAATTTGCATTGAAAACGTTTGATTGCAAATAAAATAATACCCTTATTTTATTTATATTTTGGATCAATGTGGCTTATTAACTTTTGGCTCAGAAATTTCGCTTCATTATTATTAAAATAACGTTCAAGAGTTTTTACAAAATATTATGTTTAAAAATACGATTTCAGTTTATACACGAGTCATAATACTTACGGCACTCAATGTATTAATAATTATCCTTAATTTGTATTAATACTTCATTAAAAAATTATATTTTATTTTTTTGTCAATAAATCACCGAAATGATTGAAAAAAAATATAATTTATTATTTCTCTCGCTGATGTTTCAGGAATCGAACGATGAGAACGGTTACTAACTATTTCATCGTCAACTTGGCAGTGGCTGATTTCTTAGTGATACTAATCTGCTTGCCGCCAACTGTGGTATGGGATGTCACCGAAACATGGTTTATGGGCACTTTAGCGTGCAAAATTGTTTTGTACTTCCAGGTCAGTGTTTTCATTATTCCCACGTAGTTTTATATAAATATATGTATAGTTCTATATACTCGTATATACTTTTTTTTTTTTCAAAGACTATAGTCTATGTGTTCGCTAATATTTTTATTGGAAAATCGAATTTTTTTTTTTAAACGAATCTGCCTCTTAAGACAACAATTTATTTGTCTAACTATTTTTATTAGATTTTTACCTTTGGTGATAGAACCAAAATGTTATAAAGAAAATCACTAAATTTATTTTTACTGTACATAAGAGATATACATATCGTATTCGCGTGTACTCATGATGGAAATTTTTTTGTTAGTGCGTGTAATTTGGTCTATAGTTTTATAAGGGTGCGTTATTACTGACGAGTATCTGTTAATTAAAATACTGTTTGAAATAATTACCTGCGTTTGTAATACTGTGTATTACTGAGGTTGATAAGAAGACTATATAATTATAATTATACATGAAGAATTGTATTTCATTGATAATTAAACGCACAGAAAACAATTTTCAAATAATTACATTGTTCATAAACTTTGTAAAAGCCCATTTACTTTATATGCAAAAAGTGATTGTGAAATTAATTAATTAATTCATTAATTATTCTTTGTTTTTGTAATTAAACCTGTTAAAACAATGCTTTTATTATTTAGGATGGTGGGTACACCGTATAATTGTATTAAGTGAGTAGCTTATTATTTGTTTTATTGGCACGCACGAAATATTTGATTGATTTAAAAAAAATATACAACCCTATACTATATTTAAAAAAAACTAATTATAGGGACGGATGTGCCACTGTTGTAGTTGGGAAGTTGGGAATGTAGGATACATAAGTTATTTAATTTGCATTATATGTAAGTTGTAAGCTATGATAAGCCATTGCTAAAGAAAAATGATTCGGAAGGAAGTTTGGTTATACATGTTTTATTTACGATTTTCATCAAAATTCTTATAAAAAATATCCTGCATTACATTCAAACATTTTTTTTTTTTGTTCATTAAGTACAAATTATAATAAACCTCCTGTAAAATTTTCAAACATTTGTGTATAATCTAACAATTATATCCACTGAGCACCTATCAAATAAAAATTACATATACAATTTGAAAATAGTTTAAAAAATGTGTTTTGCAATTTTTAACGTTTAAAAAACCAAATATAAGTCATCTGTCGAAATTTAAAGTCTCAACAAATATTTTTCACTGAATTACAGCAAAACAACAAAATTGAAAATAATAAAAGCATTATTTTCGTTGGTACATTTTTCCGTTCTTCTAAGGTTTTTTTGGTTTACCTAATTATTAAAAACAATTACAAGGAAAACACGTCACTAATAGATTCCTAGAATCTAAAATATTATGAGCATAGTTCGATTCAAATACATTTTTGTATTTTACTTATAGTTGTTTATACCCAAACATATTTTTAATAATAATTGGTATTTTTAATAATATTATTAAATGTTACATTTATTGACAATGTGATTTTAGATTCTGAGTGTAGCGAAGAATGTATTGGTTTTACTAAGGTGTTTAATTTTTTTTTTTACTGTGTACAAAAATTCGACCATAAATCTTGCATCATTTCCGGCACCATTTCTAAAAGGGATTGTTGTCCTGATGGTACTTTTGGGAAGTCGTTTTATGATTTTTCAAGCGGTTTTAATAATATCTGGGAAAAACCACGATAAAACGTAAGAAAAACGGGAAATGTACGAAATTAATGTTTTTATTATTTTATACATTTTGTTATTTGTGGTAATTTAGTTAAAAATATTCATAGACTTGAAATTTGGACAGAAAACTATACTTTATTTTTTCTAGACGTGGTAAAATTTTCGAAAAAATTAAGTTATTTTTGAGCTATTTATAGACATTTTAATTTTACGAGTTTTGTACGTAGTTTTTATTCGGTAGGTACTCTGTGGTAAAATTGTTATACTTGAAAATTTAACTGGAGGTTCATTAGGAGTCTAACTGTGTAGTGAAAAAAACAAATTGAGTTTAATGAAGTATTTTTTTTATAAATGAATTTTAACATCAAATTTCGACGAAAATCGTTTGAGTAAAAATGTATGTGGAATAAATCTAATTTATCAATTTTCTTTTTTTTTTGAACATATGTATAATGGCTATTTAAAAACGATGGAAGAGTTAGAATTAAGCGAACTGACTAAGTTTCGAAATTATACCTTTTTTAAGTTCTGATATTATGTGGATATCATATGTTATGTTAAATAACTCTATATTGTACCTATTCAAGCATATTTGTCGTAATCTAACGGTTGTTTATGCTTATTATCATCCTAGGGGTTCCGAGTTAAATCCAGTGTTTCGTATAAAATAGTTTGCATTTTTTTCCCTTTTACCTTAACAAGGAAAAAACAAATGTATTTTGAGCGTACCTAGAGACCCAAGCCATCGCTTATTCGGACTATTTTAATCGCATAATACCTCACGATCTGTTGTACAAACTTTTCTACCAACAATTTCTTTTCGATTTAAAATGATAGCACTTTTTCTGAAAGAAAATCCAACTGGGAAGGTATTTTAAGTAGGCGATTTTTCGATTTTCCAAGAAGTTTTCTAAAAAAATGGAAAAATATACAAAATATAAAATATTACAATTTTATTTTTTCTGTAGAGAACTTTTCTACCAGCAATTTCGCTCCAAATTACAATGATAGAATTTTTTTAAAAGGAAATCTGACTGGGGAGGTACTTTAGGGATGTCATTTTTCGATGTTCCCAAGAGTTTTCCTAGCAAATGTGAAAAACCGAGAAAAGTATGGGAAAACCGGAAAAAACGGGAAAATCGGTACAATATTAAACAAATATTATTAAAGAAAATATATAATGCTTATTTAATTATTTTACTATAATATGACATATATATTGTTGATAAAGTATCATTATCAACTGAAATGCGCTCAGAATCGTTTTTTCGTTAGTAATACTGTATCGTTGCTTACAGATATACATTAAATTACCTATAACAGTGGCTGAACCTGTTTCTATTACCCTAAGACTTTTTTTTTATAATTAATTTATAGTGATAAAACAATATTCAAGGCTATAGCCTATAGTGTATAATATTATACAAGTATACATGTACAATTCTTAAGGTTTTTATTTTTTCCCGTTACCTGACCAACGCGACTATAATTTATATTAGCTGTTACTTTCTACATGGTTCAAGTACAATTTGTAGTTTTTGTGTTCTAAAACAATATTTGTTTGAAGTTCGCCGATTCGTTGAATTTACCTCACTGACTCGTGTGAATTGTTTAATAATTATAATAGTGATAAATTGGTTGGAAGTATGTATTAAAAAATACGCGTCAAAATAAACGTTTATCTATCAAATAATATTATTTCAATTATATATAGAAAATAATAAAGCAAAATTATGCGAGAAGTGAATCGAATTCTTTAAGGTTACACCTACCTAACAAAATCCGTATTTCGATGAGATATTATTCATGTAATATTTTACTTGCTGTAGTTTTTATAAAAACAATATCTCCTATCCAAAAAAAAAAAAACATTAATATTATATATATTTCGAATATTTCGCTATTCTTTGCAGGCCAAATTAAAACCAAACGTTGTACAAATTGATAATACACCACTACCAAGGTCCAAGATACACCATTATATTAAAATGCGTTAGTATTTATTTTATGTACTTTATAAACTGTTTTAATGTAAAAAGTAATATAAATCATTCGTTTCACGGTAAAATTACATTATTATCATTTAATGAAATTTCGGAGAAAAAAACCGAAATGGTGGATTCCTATTATTTACGAAATATAAAATAATAACAGCAGCATATATATATATTAAAAATATACATTAATATAATATTAAATAACAGGGTTCTCGTTCTATGGAGAACATCAGACGGTATATAATAATGGAGAATTGGCCGGGATGACAGCTGTTGTGAGAGGGTTGTAAGGAATGGGGTTCTGACTGTGAAGGTAATACCGGCTAATAAAGACGTCACCGGCAAACGCGTAAAGGCTTAAGTTCGTTTAGGATTAGCAACACGGTCTCGGCCTATAGGTACGTATAATCTTCAAAATAAGAGGGGGGATGCTGGATTTGTAAAACTAAAGCCGCAAAACGTAATAACTTACTTCGGGCGTAAGTACTCGATCAAGAGAGTGGAACCCGAAATAGCTGCAGGGATTTATAAAATAGGCTCCAAATGTATATACTTGGAACCCCTTGATTTTCAAAAAAAATCCGTTTTAATTCGTGTTCATCTAGTTGAAATATTTATTGTTATAATTTGACTGATATACACTGTGCAATATATCGATCGATATCATAGACATGGACAATATGTACAATATGTACTTTAATAGGCCAAACGACTGACTGTTGTTATTTGGTCGAAACAAAGTCACGAGACATTAATCTTGTTTTGTGTTTTGTTTGTTTTAAACAGATTAATTTCATTTAAATAAAACTACTTTTTTTACTGTTGTTTATGTATTAGTAATAATTTTAAAATTACTATCTGTGAATAAAATATTAGTTATATGCATATATTATATTTACATACTTACCCTAGGCAGATCAATTTTGTTATTGACTTTCAAGTAGATTTTGTGAATTAAAATGGTTCACATTTTTAAATATTATTGTATATGAATATTCAGAAAATTGAAATTTATCTATTCAGTTTTTTAATTTATTTAATAAAATAACGCTCAACTACGTAAATACTTATTTAAGTTTTAATATTATAAATGTATTTAATGGCAACTATGCTTACCTACCTAAAATTTGATAGACACATTAGAGTTATGTGCTGCAGGTGTAAACCACTTGAGTATTTTAGTAATAAATAATTGCATTCCGTTTCCATGCCATAGGTAGGCATTATTATAACTGTCGAGATAATAAAATAATAATGTATTACACTTGCGTTATGCTATGTTTGAAAAGTAATAATGAGGTAATTTTTAGAATCGCAACGCATTATATTTTTAAAGTCGACTATTATATAC